CGTACCACAGCGTCGACGACTACGACGCCGACGATGACTACGCCGCCGAACAGCGCGAGCGCGACGACACCTTCAGCAGCACCACGCCCACGTCGCCCACGCTCACCTTCAGCGCCCAGCGCCCGATGCGTGCCTCGGACACGGACCTCACGAGGTCGACGGGCAGCGTCAACGAGCGGACCGCCCTGCTAGGAGTGCCCCATCTGCGGGGGGCCAGGTCCTACAAGAGCCTGCCCGCCACCTCCCCGGGCACCCCTCGCCCGGGCATGACGCGCAACAACAGCCAGCTGCCCACCAGCTCGCGCATGCGGAGCCGCCGGGGCTCCCTCACCGGCGGCCACACCTTCAGCCAGCGCCTCGTCAATGCCCTGGGCGAGCGGGGGGCGGGCCTCGAGCAGAGCATGCACTCCGCAAAGGCCTCCTTCTTCCAGGACAACCGCGTGTGGTACGATCAGTTCACGTCGACCGACTGGGTCCACGACAACATCGCCGACGCCTACCGCGTCAAGGCCCTGCGGAGCCGAAAGGACATCAGAGGCCGCCTCGCCGCTTGGTTCGACGGTGCGCAGGGCTGGATTCTGGTAGCCCTAATCGGCGTGCTCACTGCCGTGTGCGCCTACTTCGTCAACACCACCGAGACCACGCTGTTCGATCTGAAGCAGGGCTATTGCACTACCGGCTGGAACAAGAGCCGCAAGGCGTGCTGCCAAGGTGCCTCGATATGCGACAACTGGCTCAAGTGGTCCGAGGCGGTCCGCAATGACAGGCTGGACGTCGTCCAGACCCAATATGGCTTTTTCGTCCTCTCCGTCATCTTGCTCTCCATGGCCTCGTGTCTGCTCACGCTCACCACAAAAACAGTCATCCCTTCAGCCATCTCTCTGTCCACACTCGACGAAAACCTCGGCGCAGAAGTCCGGAGATACTCTGATCAGGCAGAGGAAGAAGACCGCAAGCGCAGCATCAGCCCAGAGTCAAGGTTCCAGGAAGTCCAGGCACGGCCACCCATGGTCTACTACTCCGCTGCTGGCAGTGGTGTAGCCGAAGTCAAGGTCATCCTCAGTGGTTTCGTTCTCCACGGTTACCTGGGTGTACGCACACTGCTCGTCAAGACGCTAGCTCTGATCCTCAGTGTTGCATCGGGCCTCAGTCTCGGTAAGGAGGGCCCATACGTGCACATTGCGACTTGCATAGGAAACATTGCGTGTCGTATATTCTCAAAGTATAGCAACAACGACGGCAAACGCAGGGAGATTCTCAGCGCTAGTGCCGCTAGTGGTGTTGCCGTAGCTTTCGGCGCTCCGATTGGCGGAGTGCTCTTCAGTTTGGAGGAAGTGAGCTACTACTTTCCATCCAAGACACTCTTCAGAACCTTCTTTTGCTGCATCGTAAGTCACTAGTCCCTTTTCTCGACCTCGCTAATCGCTTGTAGGCGGCTGCATTATCTCTTAAATTCCTGGATCCATACGGCACCAAGAAGATCGTGCTTTTCGAGGTTCGTTATCATCTAGACTGGAAGTTTTTTGAACTTGCGACCTTTGTCTTCACCGGCGCTGTGGGCGGTGTTCTCGGCGCATTGTTCATCAAAGCATCTCGCATCTGGGCACGAACATTCCGTCGCATACCCGTTATCAAGAAGCATCCGCTCCTTGAGGTCTTCCTGGTTGCGCTTGTGACTGGTTTGATCAGTTTCTGGAACCGATACACCAAACTTCCCGTCACCGAACTCTTGTTCGAACTGGCAAGTCCGTGCGACACGTACACTGACACCGGCGACGGTCTCTGTCCGACTCTCGAGCATATTCCGAGCGTACTCAAGACCTTGTTCTTCGCATTTGTCATCAAAGCTCTTCTGACTGTCGTCACCTTTGGTATCAAGGTCCCAGCCGGTATCTATGTACCTTCCATGGTCGTAGGCGGTCTCGCCGGGCGCTTTATCGGCCACACTGTTCAACTTGCTGCTCTACGCTTCAATCATCTGGGCGTCTTCGGAGAGTGTTCGCCTGATGGTCCGCCAGGTTCATGCGTCGTTCCTGGAGTGTACGCGCTAGTGGCTGCTGGAGCAACAATGACCGGCGTCACTCGTCTCAGTATCACACTGGCCGTCATCTTGTTCGAGCTCACGGGTAGTCTGGATCACGTACTCCCTTTCTCTCTCGGCATCCTGGTCGCAAAATGGGTGGCAGATGCTATTGAACCGCTCAGTATCTACGACTTGCTCACAGACATGAACTCGTACCCATTCCTCGATAACAAAGTTCGACCCATCTTCACATCCGAGCTTGGCGACATCACTACTGGGAAGAGACAGGATCATATCATCGACATTTCAGAAGACGCGCTCATTCCTGCAGTCGAGCTGCGTGCAAAGCAACGTGGACTACAAATGATAGGTGAACTGGACGGCGGCCTGTCCATCATCAAAAACGGCGTTCTTGTTGGCCTCATTCCTGCACCAGATCTAGAGTTTGCGCTCGATAAGCTGGAGAACGAAGAGAACACGCTTTGCCTCATGTCACCGCGAGTTGATTGGGCTGCAGGGCGTGAGCCTCAAGACGAAGAAGAGCAAGAAGCCTATGATCCAAGTGATTTCACTCCATATATTGACCCAGCACCTGTTGCATTGGATGTTCACTCACCGATGGACTTGGTATACGAATGCTTTGTAAAGCTCGGACTACGATATATATGCGTGCTCAGAGATGGCAAGTACGCTGGTCTGGTACGTATCACGTTCGAAGTCGAGACTTAGCAATACTAACTGCAAGTAGGTTCATAAGAAAACCTTCGTCAAGTACGTCAAAGAATTGGAGCATCAGGAAAAGAAAGGACGTGAGATCTAAGTCCTAGCGGCATTACATTTCCCTTCTTTGTTTCTTGCATAGCGTCATACCCTCATTATCATTCAGCGGTTTTTCCCTTCACTTTCAGTTCGTTTTCACAAGCATATACTGCATTTAGACTGGCGTTACATGGCATGTCTTCGTAGATGACGTGGTATCACATGGCAAGCGTAGAGCATACATGGAATCATTCATTCAAAATGTTCACAGGATTGGTTCACAGCCTTCATCATTGCACCCGGTGTTTCCTTTGTCAACATAGCTTGAGATGCCCGACTACTTGTTCTACAACATTTCATGCACTCTACAATTTGAGGTCGATGTGGTAGTGCATCCGTTTGCACGGTCCCTGATGTGTGCGCACGCGATCGCATCAACCTCCTATCTGACATCGTTGCCTGAAATAATTTTCTACGCAGCTGCACATTCACTTCTTGTGGAGTCGTGACCTAGCGTCTACGCTGAATCATATCCATAGTCGAGTGAAATGTACATAAGGATCAACCTGACAATTACGACCATTACCGCTACATATAGAACCGATCTCATCTGCCTGTCTACCAGGAATCGTTGCAATGCGTATGGCCTTGTTATCTCTCCTGTTCTTAGGGGTTCTTACAGTGGTACTGGCCTCCACGAATCGGTACTGTCGAACCGGATCCGAAACTGCCGCCCTCGATCCAGGCTCTATCGGCCCCCAGGAGGGTAACATGAATCATTTCAAGTTTGGTATCGCGCAACCTTGGCCTCCCATCAGCATCCCTAAGAAGGGCCGGATTCGTCTCCTTCGATATTGCTTTGCGACCGCCAAGGCCAAAGCGGAACTTGATTGTCCACTCCAGAAGGGGTTCAAAATATGGGCCGACGCCATCAAGACACCAGCCAGTGCTACGAATGGCCATTGCCTCGGGTGGATGGAGATTCATGACGGCAACGAGGATAAAAATGAGAGAATGTATCCAACCTGCTACCTCGATGATTACAAGAACAAGAAAGAGCCTGGAACGTGGAACCCAAAGGTGAGCGCGGACGCTCTTGCAATACACCTTGGAGCAGAAGAAGAAGCGCCATACGCTAGTATTGGGTATGATCATCGAAAAACCACTGCTGGCCGTCATTACATGGTCATGGGCTCGAAAAGCACAGAGCCTCATCGGGTAGCCCACGAAGTAAGTCTCTATGTTGCCAGTCGAGCACCCCTCGTCTCCAAATCCGCTGACACAAGAGCTAGATCGGCCACGTCCTCGGCATGGCTCACGAGCACTGCCGGTTTGACCGCGACGAAAACGTCCTTTTCCGGTGCGACAAACTAGTAGGCTACAAAGACGCCCTCATCGCCGCCAGCGTCGCCGGCCACCAAGACGCCGCAGAGCGCCTCTGCACCGAGCAAGGCTTTGCGAACGAATTCAACTTCGAAGCTGGTGCCCAGTACATCAAGAACGCCGCTTTCAACAGCATCTACGCTCCCATCATGGACGAAGGCCCCTTTGATCTCGGCTCCATCATGATTTATCCCTCGAATGCGTATGCTGCGGATTCGAATTGCTGGGAAAAGAACGATATCAGTGTTTGTCCGCTTGTTGCTGCGCGCTTTGGGTCCACGTGGGCAATTCAGGTTAATACGGCGCCGTCGGTGGGGGATGTTAATTTTGTCAGGGCGTGGTATCCATGGCTTGAAGAGCAGAAGGAACCTGGTGATGAGAAGCCGAAGGAACCTGCTGCTGAGAAGTCGACGACGGGTTCTAGTGCTGTTGTTGTTGGTAAGCGTGGGGGAGATGAAGCGGAGCGTGAGCTTGTTAGAGTACACCGTCTTGGGGTTAGAGATGAGAATTTTTTGGTGAAGGCATCGTATTAGAAACGTCCATGGTGGTGGTAAAGGAGACAACGGGTCGTGCCACGACTGGACGTTGGGGACATTGTCGCATGCCTGCTGTGAGAGACGCCGTTGCAGCTAGGGGTCGGAGAAGACTGTTCCCGTCGTTTGTAATTGTTCAACATCCTGCTTTTGATGTTGTCGCATAGGCAATAGAAGGATGAAGATGCATCAGCCCCACTTCGCCCCTCCACCACCACAATGCCGCAAAAAAGAACATTCTTCACAACAGAACCCCAGTACGACACCAGCAAAAAGGAATAGGCTATAGCAGCTGCCGTAGTTGCCTTCCGCCAGAATTGAACCTCCACGGCACGTCAGCGTCGTCGTCTCCTACGTGCTTCGAATGGGGGTGTTACTCACTGACGACCTCGTCATTACTAGTGACGCGCTCTACCACTGAGCTAGGAAGGCTTGCTAGTTGGATGGCAAACGCTTCAAATAAACGTTTTATGATCTGGTTTGTGCACGGCATCTATAACCTACATCTATACACCGGTCCTTGCGTCCGCCGTGATCGGCCGCCAAAATGCGGTGTCGTGTCTAGCGGGGCAAAACCATCAGGGTCTAATCACAGAGCGGCACAAGCGGGTACATATGAAATATCCGCAGCTCAATTTGTGCTAGCTGCAATCAACGCTTATTTCCTCCCTCCAACACTACCCTTCCACCTCCCTCTCCCCAACTTGTCGGTTCCCGTCTTCTCCGCATCCGCGCCATTGAAGACAACGCTTCTCTCATCGCCCCTCGGCAGGACAACCTCCAGGTCCTTCCAATGCGGGACGAAGCCATCTTGCAATTTCTCCTCATATCGCACCAGTACCTGCGTGGCCGTTGACTCGAAGGATACTGTAAAGACGGAGATCCTGGCTGGCGGCGGCGAAACACCGTCGTCTTCGTACCAAGTAGACGTGTAGACTTTACCGTTGGAAGAAGCCTTTGGAGGGAAGATCTCTACCCCCCGGTAGTCGTCCAGGGGCAGGTTCGCCGGGTTGTTTGTTTCGCCTACAGAGAGGACTTGTTCCGCCCGTCCAACAGGTATCGCGCTTCCAACTTTCGCCAAAACAGGAATGCTGGACTGCCAGTGCGATGCAACATCAACCCACTGTCCCGCGCTGTAATACGTTTGTGGGTCGTTGTTCAGGTCCAGAAACGCGGCATCAGGGTCTGAAGCGTCCTTGGGAAGGTACATGCTAGCAGTCTCGGCACCAGGAGTGAAGACACCACCGACCAGTAGTGCATCACCAAGCCAGTACTGTGTTTCGCCATCGGTAAGAATCTTGTTGGTCCAAATCTCCGGATCACTCTCATATCCCCATCCAGTCCAACGCTGCGGTGGCGTGGCAGTCATGTGAGAATGCAGCGCTAGCGAGTAGAGATAGGGGATGAGTTCGTAGCGGCGCTTGATCGTGTCGCGGATTATGCTAGTCACCTCGGGATACATCCAAGGCTCGATAACATCGCCGACGCGGTTGTCCTTGCCCGTTTTGAAGCAGTTGATGGCGAAGCGCGGACTGTAGATGCCTTGCTGGCACCAGCGGACGAGAAGCTCGGGACTGGGCTGTGGGCCTTCGAAACCGCCTATGTCGTGGCCGTAGCATTGCATTAGACACACGCCCGCGGTGAGGGACAGAGCGTTGGCGCCTTTCATGCCTGGCCATGAGGTGACATTGTCTCCGCTCCAGGCACTTGCGCAGTATCGAAGCGTTCCTGCTGTGGCGCTTCGGGTCAAGATGAAAGGGCGTTGCGCAGGTTCCATCTCCAAGGCCGCATCGTGCGAAGATTTTCCCATCAGTTCAGTGTTGAGTGCGCGACCCCAGAATCCGATGCTGTTGCCATAGTCGTCGCTCTTGGGCTCTTGCGTAACTGCTGGCTCATCCAGAGCGCACTGCCAGCCATCGTGTGGGACAGTGTATTCGTTGTTGTCGTTCCAGATGCAGTCGATACCTACACGCTTCAGCTCGCGGATGCCGTCGTACCACCACTGGTACCCGGCCTTCGAAGTGAAGTCGATATGGCCACCGACTCCGCTCTCACCTCCACCTGCGCTCCATAGTCTCGCTTCAGCCGATGCGAGTGTCAACGAATCCGTAAAGAATGCGCCAGCGTCTTTGAGCTTTTGATACTCGGGATGGCTACCCAATACATACGGCTTCACGTTTGCAATGAGCCGAATGCCTTCCTTGTGATAAGCATTGATCCAGCCTTTCGGATCAGGAAACCGGTGCTTATTCCACGTAAACACGTTGCGCGTCTTGGGTTCTGTCTCCGCGACCGTATAGCCAGATGACATTTGCATGCCGGAGCAGGGAATGTCGTGTTCTTTAAGCTTGGCAGCAAACTCCATCATGCTCTGACTAGCAGGTGGGTCGTCCGTCATGGAGTACTTCATACCACCAGCCAGGTAACCGAATGCCCACCGCGGCACCAGAAGTGGATAGCCAACGAGGTCAGCGTAGATGCGCACAATATCCGGTAGTGTCTTTCCCACCAGGAGGTACTCCTCGAGGCCGCCGTAGTCTTGACGATATACTTTGAAGCGTCCCCACATCCCATCCATCTCAGAGCCGACCTGGTAAAAGAGGTCAGCATGCGTCTCAGATGCAGGTGTACAGCGGTATCTCTTACAGAGTAGAAGCCGCGGGCGTGTGACGTTGAGAAGATACCAACACAGCCATCTGGCGTGCAATTGATCAGGAGAGGAATGTGCTTATAGAGCGGGTCTGTGCGATAAACATCGTAGCCGAAAGAGTCGGTGGCGGAGAGAACGAAGTGACGATTTGACAAATCCATGGGTGCTGGCTTCTCGCCAAGTCCAAGGTGAAGAGTCCCATTATTGTAGCGTGTGTAGTGCGAAACCCCAGGCCCATCAGCAACATAGGAGCGATTGGGCAGATCGGTATGAATGGGTGTCTTTTGGCCAGGAAGCGTAAGTGATACTATTGGTACACCGCCTTCCCAATCCACATTGGCAGTGACTCCATCGACGGCGAATGCTTTTGAGGTGGTGCTTGATGATACCCGTGCCGCAGTCGTGTCGTCCAGGGTCTTGCTCGGTACTGGTGTGGCTCGGTGTGGCGGCAACAAGTGCTTTGGCGACGTGAAAGTCGTTCGGAAAAGTCCAGGTCGTAAGGCGTCGAATGTGAAAACAAAGCCCGAGTTTGACTCCAACTCAACGCTCGTATCAGACGATGCAGTCGCGGGAGCAGCTTGGTAGCCGCTGGGGACGTGCTCAAGCATCGGCATGATGAATATAGAACGGGTTTAACAGTTAGCAATGCCGGTCTTCTTGCCAAGTATCATGACCATCATGAATCATACTGTACTTATAGCAAGGCAGGCCATTGAACTTCGCCCGAAGGTACCATCGGAGAAAACCGAAGGAGCCTACCCTCGTCACGAGGCTAAAGGCATCCATCCTTGGCTGCCGGTTTCTTCGGCCGTAGCTACGAGACCTAGCCCGAAGAAAGACAAGATCAGCGTCTGGGGTCCCCGTGGGGATGCGTATAAGTGCAGTCGGGCCATATTGACCTACTACTGCAGCATTATCTCAGACTCTTCCTGGGCTGATTATAGTCTTCTTGTTGAACATGTCGAAACCGGAGGTGACCGACGACGTTGCCGTGTCCAAGCCCAATGTCGAAACCACGGAGTCGCTTTACAAGCCAGCCAATGCGACGGACGGCAAAGGCAAAGACAAAGCCGCCGCACTTCTCGCCTCGAACGAACGCATCGTCGTAACATCCGCCGAGAACAAACGCGTCTTGAAGAAGATCGATCTTGTCATCTTGCCCATCCTACTCAGCGTCTACTTCCTCCAATCACTCGACAAGACCACGTTGTCCTACGCCTCCGTCTTTGGCCTCATCGAAGATGCAAACCTCGATCCCAACAGTCAACAATACTCATGGCTTGGGAGTATCGTGTATATTGCGCAGCTAGTGGCACAGCCGCTGGTGGCTGTGTTGCTGGTCAAGCTCAGGATGGGGAAATTCATGGGTGTAATGGTGTTCACCTGGGGTTGCATATTATGCGGAATGGCGGGTGCCAGCAGCTTCGCCGGGCTGATGGCCACGCGATTCTTGTTGGGCGCTTTCGAAGCTGCCGTTGGTAAGCCAACTCTTCAAGCCATCGCGAAGACTATCGCTAACGCATCTAGCTCCTGCTTTCATCGCCGTTGTTCAAATGTGGTATAAGCGTGGCGAGCAAACGAACCGAAACGCAGCTTGGTACGCCATGCTGGGCATGGTCAACATCCTCGGCAGTCTGCTCTGCTACGGGTTGGGCCACATCCAGTCCAATCTTCTGTACTCATACCAGATCATCTTTCTCTTTTGTGGTCTCCTCACAGTCGTCGTTTCGGTCTTTGTATGGTTGTTCATGCCCGATTCACCCATGGAGGCAAGTGGTTTCCCTGTACTAGTTGATGTGAGAGATATACTGACTTCGTGCCCCAATCTTTAGGCCAAGTTCTTCAACGATCACGAAAAGCTCGTCGCTGTCGAACGTCTGCGTATGAACCAGATGGGCGTTGCATCTCGCGTCTGGAAGTGGGACCACGTACTGGAGGCATTCATGGATCCCAAGACATGGCTTTGGTTTTCCATGTTGACAGCGATCAGCATCCCGAGTGGTGGTATCAGTGCTTTCGGGCCTCTGATCATCCAGAGTAAGTACAACGTTCTTGCAAATTGGATTTCTGAACTGTACTGATTGCTCGAATTTAGGTTTCGGGTTCGGGCCTTTCGCTACGATCCTCTTCAACATGCCTTTCGGCGTCATCCAGATTATAGCTACCTGCGGTGGAGCTTGGCTAGCCACGTGGCTGAAACGGAAGTCGCCCGTACTGATACTCCTATGTATACCACCAATAGCCGGCATCGTCATCCTCATGGTCGTTGGCCGCGGCGACTCGAATCGCGGTGTACTTCTTCTCGGATACTACGTAAGTCATGGCAACGCCAAGCATGCAACCTACTAACCCTGTGCTTGCAGCTCACGTCTTTCTATCCCGGCATTTCACCTTTAATTTACAGCTGGTCAGGCCAGAACACAGGAGGCGACACAAAACGCAAAGTAACGACAAGCATCCTCTTCGTCGGCGCCAGCGCCGGCAACATCATCGGCCCACAGCTCTTCAAACCGTCGGAAAAACCGCACTACTACCGAGGGCTCCGCGCCAACCTCGCTCTCTTCATCGCGATCGTCGTCCTGATCCTGCTTGCAATGTCCTGGATCAAGCTTCTGAACCGGAAGCATGCGGCAACAAGAGAGAGCATGGGGAAGTCGGCCATTGTCGTTGATACCAGCATGGGTTCTGCGCGCGAGGGTGATGCAGAGGAAGCTGAGAACGCACAAGCCAGCGGTGTGGGCGACAAGGCGTTCGATGATGTGACTGACATCAAGAACGAAGA